CGCGACTCAGCCAGATCGATAACCTAACTTTTTCTGTTTGATTTCTAACATTATTTACCCATACTTGGCAATTTTTTCATACATTCATAATTCTGAAATGAATTTTTACTAGAAACCAAAATCATTCATGATTGATTGTGAATTGAAGACGGAAAAAGTGTTTGTCCAATCGTAGTTAATCAAAACTTTATACTATGAGCCGGGGGAGAAGAGAGAAAAGAGCAGAAAAATTGTTGAGTCGTTAACAAATTCAACGGTTACTAAAAAATACATATAGTAAGCAGGGGCGGAGCTACATTGGTGCTCGGGGGGGCCCCGGCCCCCCCGAGAATTTTGAAGATCGTATGTACATGTGTCGAGAATTTTGGAAAAAATGAATAATTTAAAGGTTTTAATAAATTTATTAGTGTGCAAACTACTGACACAGAAAATGCTAGTAGTCTAGCGGATTAGTTGCTAAATTATTGTTCCATAAACCTAGGTTCGATCCTCAAGAACCACTGCATTTTTTGTGTTTTTTAGTTTAATAACTGCTCAAATTTTTGAATTCCCCATAAAAGCTACTTCCATTTTGTCTCCTCTTTGTAATTTATTAGCGTTCAACATTAAGTTGTAAATTGTAATAACAATGATTAACATATTGTACTAAAATTTTTAGTTTATAACATATTTTTAGGTTTTTATTTTCCTGATTTCTGATGATATACGGGAAAAAAAATTTGTCGGCCCCCCCGACTCGCGAATCCTAGCTCCGCCCCTGATAGTAAGCACCTAATCCTAATACAAGTATACAACTACTCCTAACCTATTACATAATAATACTCGTTCTATGAGTAACTTCCAGTTGAGTCCTACATTAATCAGATTCCCCTACAAACTAAACGTTAATTGATTTCAAGTTTGGTTTGGAAATGAGCTGATCAATAGTGTGTCCATTGTTAGAGGTTTAGTAAGAGGATATGCTAGTTGGAGAGAAGTGGAGATGTGTTGCACTTTCAACTTTCGGGTAAGTATTTGGCCTCTTGTGAAGTGACAGCCCATTTTGAATTTTGACATTCTTTGTCCTTGCATGATGAAGTGAATTATGTGTCATCTTGGCAATGATTCGGGAATAATTGTTTTTTTTCCTCCCCGTTTCTCTTTGAATTTTGTTGCAATTGAGCTTCAAAAGGGGTAATTTTATACTACGTTTCTTGTGTTTCAATGTGTTTCAGATTCTAAGAGGTGAAACCAACTCCGGAGTCGAAAGTTGGAAGAAAAGGAGCAAAGACCGGACAAAGAGAAGGAAGCAGCCTGTGTTCACGGTCTCCAGGACCGTGAACTGAAACCACAACCCGTGAACCGCGTTCAGAGGGGTTTCTGAGCTTACTGACGCCAAGGCTATTCACTGTCGCTAAGATCGTGAACTGCACCCACAAACCGTGATCCCAAGAAGTGAACGCTGCGTTTTGGTTCAGCACACTGTGTCACGCGTATTGATGTTTACGGCCGTGAACTTGAGCCGTGAACTTGGCGCGATCTCAGTATAAAAGGCCAGCTGAAAGGAAGAAGAAGGGGAGAGACCTAGTGTGAGAAACTTCTTCTTCTTCCTCTTCTTCCTCTTCTTCTTCTTCTTCTTCTTCAGATTTTTAGAGTGAGAAAGTGATGAACCAAAGAAGAGGAGAATCTAGGGTTTCATCTCCAAGCAAGGATTTGCGAATTCCTCCCCCCAAAGGAGGATCTCCTCAACACGAGGAGCAAGGCTAGCATCTCTTTGATGGTTTCCCTTTTCCTCTCTTGTGTTTTCCCTTCTCCTAGCATGGAGTAGTCCCTTCTTTCACTTGGGTTTTTGTAAACCCTAGCTACAATTATGTGAATGCTTGTATGAATTGAATGATTTGTGTGTGGTTGTGTTTAATGTGAATATGGAGGTATTATTCATGAATGATTATGTTGTGTGAAAATCTATCAATCTAATTGCCACTCTAACCAAGTATAGAGAAAACCCCCTTCCTTTCTTTGAAAGAGGCTCGGATGCTGAGTTTTCTTGGGCAATTCATTGTCTCCTAGTTAGGTTAACCCAGGGAAAACCTCCTATTTTGTATTAGCACTTAGGGTTTGGTTGTGGGTGGCAGTCCAAACTCCAATTTGAGGGTGGAGTCTAACCATTACTTAGTTAATAGGTTGAGAGGGTCGCATTAGTGGCTTGGATCGTATCCCATTTCCTCGACCTAGAGACTAAGAGGGTAGATTTGGTTACTTGTTAGACTTCCCTGCGGTTTACAACCCCCTCACCAAACGCGATCATTCGATCCTTCAAATCGTAATTGTTAGCTAGGGGGAGCAACACCTGGGCGAAGCCTTCTTAATTAGTGTCAAAAACCATTTCATCTTTGCAAAGTAATTTAGCTTTAGACCTTTGTTTTCACCAAAACTATCCGCTAGATAATGTTTCAAACAATTAAAGTAGCAGTACATGGGCAGGCTCGAGTTGATATTTAAACATACTTACCCTATATTGCACCCATCTAAAGTTTATACTTGGGCCTTAGGTGGGATTTTATTGTGATAGTCAGAGCGAGTCAAGTTTTTGGCTCTGTTGCCAGGGAACTTTTGTCCATTGTGATGAAAAGTTTGTTTGGTGTTAATCTAGCTTTTATTGTCAGTTTTGTTAAGTGTGAAGTTTTCTTGTGCTAGACGTGTTGTGTTCTTTAAGTGTGTGTAGGGAGGTGCATGATCCGGAGCAATCCGACGCCTTTAATACCACTGAACGAGGACATCAACCGGACTCTCTGACTTTTAGCTCAAGAGAGGGAGAAAGTGGAGGCAAGAAGGAGAATTGAAGAGAGGGTACAACAAGTGTAACACCCTACCCTGTACGTTTTACCTAATCATATTGTTCATACATTTGCAGCGGAAATAATCTCAGGTGTTACATTAATTACCAAAATTTACCCAAATAAAATTTCAACATGAATTACTCGCGTAATGGGATAACAGTTCTTGCAACTTATCCTGGAAAATAATTCATCTGAATCCCTTCATTAGTAGACATACAAATATACTCATAACCATATACATTGCTTCTCATAGCCATAGGCACAGTTTCATACTCCACAACTGCATACCTTACTAATACATGTCATAGTCGTCACAACTTACACAACCACGCAAATATACACATATCAACTTTCCACACCTGTGGATATGTAATACTACATCAAAAGCTAGTATGCACATTAAAAACATTCTCAAAATAATTTTACAAAAGAGGTGTGGATCACTCGCCAAAATCCCGAGTAGTCATCCAAGCACAGAATAGTTGAAGACCATACCTCATCTTGCCTTCAACTCTTGCTCAGCTCCCACCTATACACCTATCTACTGCTGCTGCTGGTGATGATCTGCTTACACATGGCATAAGCAGAGAAAAGGGATAAAAGAGGGCCAGCTCATGGCTGAGTGAGACAATCATTGCATCGTGAGTTCATAACAAAGCATCTCCTACCATACATCTAGCAATCAAGCCAAAACACTAGGATCAGACCTCAGCCATCCTCATATCCCAATGGGCAAAAGACCCAACCACCTTGACTTATGCATATGTGTATTATCATGTTTTACTTATAGGCGCCTGGCTACTCCCATGCTAATTACTCTCCCGGGAATACAGACCAAACATCTCGTGGATGTGGTCATATCGGACCCACCACTGTCGGTGTAGTTATATCGGACCTGACACCACTCTAGGTGTGGTCATATCTCATGATGGATGAACGGTCAACACCACATCAGGGGTGTGACATAACATATCATAACGGAGTAATAGCATGGGGAGCCCTAATTACTATGTAATTGACCATGAGACCAATTCACTCTTATTTGGTATCCTTATACATGATTCATATCTCATCTTGCTTAATCATAATTCGTTACTTGCACATGTACTTCACCTTACCATAATTGGCTCAACATAGGTAAAACAGGAGTCGTATAATTGCACTTCCTCGGGATGAACCCTCGTGCAAGTCATCCTCCGAAAACATCAAAATATCACTATGGGATATATATTTTCCCACTTGTACATCCAAATACATCAATCATGAAAAATCATATCCAATCACCTTTTTGAACCATCATAAGGCTATCAACAGTCAAGCCCACAATTTGCAACATATCCGAAATCATCAGCATAAACAAGGTCCATCTCAATTAGGGCAAGTCAATAATATCATACAGTAGTCCAGGGTTCATCATATAGCACAAAAGTTCATACATCCCTAATCATGCCATTCTAGTTCACCTAGGTCAATTCTAAGCATCAATATAATTATCGTGATACGACAAACCCGGTATGCCGTGCTAATCCCACACCAGTTCTGGTCGTTCAAACACCAGTTTTCGCCTCCCGTACTAAAACTTCACTTTTCTCAAACAAAACCGGAATCAAAATCCGAGATTGTCCTAATATCCCCTGCAGTGTCCCCGTCAATATTAGTTCGAAGCTCCGGGTCAAATTATCGATAAAAACACATCAAACCTTGGCCGAAGCTAAATTCAGCGATCCCGGCTCCGACCTGAATAATAGCATAAATTCATGGATTAGAAACAGAGGATTAATTACCTCGCTGCAGGAAGCTCGTATATGAAATCTGGGCTTAATCCGGCTTCTGGATACTCCGAAACCCTAATTTGGCTTATCGGAAATTCAAGAAATTCCTGAACCAAAAACTCGTTTTAAAGCTCTAAATCGATAAATCACAATGTATAGATGAATTAGGCATTACTTACGGGATTTTTGGATCACTAATGCTCAAGAATTGAGCTCATAAATTTTCCTTTGTCGCTCCCCTGAACTTGTCCGCTCGCTCTGCTCTCGGTCGGAATGGTAAAGGAGATGATGATGGGGAAAGAATGGACCGCCAGGGAATATATATATATATATGCTGAGTGACCGCTTGCTTTTCTTTATTTGTTTATATAAGTATATATAATATATTATATATATAATTAATACGTATACTTATCCAATTGATCGATATTTCGATTTTCGTTGAAATACTATCAAAACACTCAATTTAAATCGCATATTTTTCTAACGATCGAAATATGAGTTTTGACAAAACGGGATGTTACAACAAGTTGGTCCCGAATTTGAAGGAATTGAAGGAGAAGTTGAAGTAGAGATGGCGGGGAATCAACATCGAGGGGCTAATCCGCATCAAAACCCAAATGTCGAAGCAGGAGCCGAGGAAGAGCCAAGGACTATGGGCTATTACATGGCTCCACGGGCGGCGGATATCCAATCTCCTATCTTATATCCACCCGTGGCCGCCAACAACTTTGAAATCAAGCTTGCTCTCGTGACGATGATTCAAAACAACGCCTATTTTGACGGGCTTGCCAACGAATCACCACGAGAGCATGTCCAAAGGTTTCTTGAGCTAGAGGGAATTTTGAAGATAAATGGCGTCCCCGAGGAGGTATTGCGCTTGAGGCTTTTCCCCTATTCTTTGGCGGGGAAGGCACTCCGATGGCTCAACAACCGTCCGACTCTATCCATCACCTCTTGGTACGATTTACTCAACAAATTACTTGACCCGATATTGTCCTCCTTCCAAGACGGTCGAGTGGAGGAAGAAGATCACTCACTTTGAGCAAGAGGAGGATGAGACATTGAGGGATGCATGGGAAAAATTCTCTGACTACTTCCTGATATAATCAAAATACGAAGAGAACCCTTGAACTCGGATGATATGACCAAAGTACGCAGCTCCAACGATCTTTTCTTGATTTTCTTGAAAACAACCTTTTCTTGATTCTTTGATTTTCTTGACTTTCTTGATTTTCTTGATGTCGCCTTTCTTGAACTCGAAAATAAAAGATAGGATGGAATCAATCGGACAATCCCAACTCGTAATGAAGGGAAATTGGTACATTAAACCAATCGGACATCACCAACTCGTGGAAAGGCGCAATTGATATAGGTGATGCTCGCCACAAATAGACGCGATCTCTAGTTGATAAGAGACACCTGAAACTCCCAGAATCCTCGACAGAAGCTTGCACAGAAACTCGTTGGTATTTAACTCGAAACTTGACTTTGATTGATTGAAAACTTGATGAAAAATACATGTAATTCGTACTCCTTATATAGGCAACGAAAATCAAATCCAAAACTAAGAAAGAAAGCTAAAATCCTTAACTAACAAATAAACAAAGTCCTACAAAGAAAAGGAAACAAGTTTGACTCTCTCAACCCTTAAAACTAGCCTTAAAATCCCGGCTTGTGTTCACACCTGATATTCCTTTCACACTTGTATTCCTTTCACACCTTGTGTTCGCACCATAAGGAAATTCCTTCCTTTTGGGCCGAATCTTCACTCCTTTCTCCAAGCCCATCTTCTCGTGATTTGGATCCACAAATTTAAGCATGTGATGGGCTTTCCTCGATGCAATTCCATATCCATCAAGAATGATCCCATTTGATCCTTGTATCGTTGTATTCTAGCCTTCATCTTTGGACCACGAGAATTATATGTTATGCCAATCGCTTTCACATCAACAAACTCGTAGGCCTTGCTTGCAAAACTATTTTCACCCATCTTGAATGCTCCCAAGATCTCTTTGAACCTTTTAATTTGTGTCTTGGCCCATGGTCCATGTAAAGATCTTATTTGAGCCCGAGGAGGTATTGCGATTGAGGCTTTTCCCCTATCTTTGGCGGGGAAGGCACTCCGATGGCTCAACAACCGTCCGACTCTATCCATCACCTCTTGGTACGATTTACTCAACAAATTCATGACCCGATATTGTCCTCCTTTCAAGACGGTCGAGTGGAGGAAGAAGATCACTCACTTTGAGCAAGAGGAGGATGAGACATTGAGGGATGCATGGGAAAAATTCTCTGACTACTTCCTGATATAATCAAAATCCGAAGAGAACCCTTGAACTCGGATGATATGACCAAAGTACGCAGCTCCAACGATCTTTTCTTGATTTTCTTGAAAACAACCTTTTCTTGATTCTTTGATTTTCTTGACTTTCTTGATTTTCTTGATGTCGCCTTTCTTGAACTCGAAAATAAAAGATAGGATGGAATCAATCGGACAATCCCAACTCGTAATGAAGGGAAATTGGTACATTAAACCAATCGGACATCACCAACTCGTGGAAAGGCGCAATTGATATAGGTGATGCTCGCCACAAATAGACGCGATCTCTAGTTGATAAGAGACACCTGAAACTCCCGGAATCCTCGACAGAAGCTTGCACAGAAACTCGTTCGTATTTAACTCGAAACTTGACTTTGATTGATTGAAAACTTGATGAAAAATACATGTAATTCGTACTCCTTATATAGGCAACGAAAATCAAATCCAAAACTAAGAAAGAAAGCTAAAATCCTTAACTAACAAATAAACAAAGTCCTACAAAGAAAAGGAAACAAGTTTGACTCTCTCAACCCTTAAAACTAGCCTTAAAATCCCGGCTTGTGTTCACACCTGATATTCCTTTCACACTTGTATTCCTTTCACACCTTGTGTTCGCACCATAAGGAAATTCCTTCCTTTTGGGCCGAATCTTCACTCCTTTCTCCAAGCCCATCTTCTCGTGATTTGGATCCACAAATTTAAGCATGTGATGGGCTTTCCTCGATGCAATTCCATATCCATCAAGAATGATCCCATTTGATCCTTGTATCGTTGTATTCTAGCCTTCATCTTTGGACCACGAGAATTATATGTTATGCCAATCGCTTTCACATCAACAAACTCGTAGGCCTTGCTTGCAAAACTATTTTCACCCATCTTGAATGCTCCCAAGATCTCTTTGAACCTTTTAATTTGTGTCTTGGCCCATGGTCCATGTAAAGATCTTATTTGAGCCCGAGGAGGTATTGCGATTGAGGCTTTTCCCCTATTCTTTGGCGGGGAAGGCACTCCGATGGCTCAACAACCGTCCGACTCTATCCATCACCTCTTGGTACGATTTACTCAACAAATTCATGACCCGATATTGTCCTCCTTTCAAGACGGTCGAGTGGAGGAAGAAGATCACTCACTTTGAGCAAGAGGAGGATGAGACATTGAGGGATGCATGGGAAAAATTCTCTGACTACTTCCTGATATAATCAAAATCCGAAGAGAACCCTTGAACTCGGATGATATGACCAAAGTACGCAGCTCCAACGATCTTTTCTTGATTTTCTTGAAAACAACCTTTTCTTGATTCTTTGATTTTCTTGACTTTCTTGATTTTCTTGATGTCGCCTTTCTTGAACTCGAAAATAAAAGATAGGATGGAATCAATCGGACAATCCCAACTCGTAATGAAGGGAAATTGGTACATTAAACCAATCGGACATCACCAACTCGTGGAAAGGCGCAATTGATATAGGTGATGCTCGCCACAAATAGACGCGATCTCTAGTTGATAAGAGACACCTGAAACTCCCGGAATCCTCGACAGAAGCTTGCACAGAAACTCGTTCGTATTTAACTCGAAACTTGACTTTGATTGATTGAAAACTTGATGAAAAATACATGTAATTCGTACTCCTTATATAGGCAACGAAAATCAAATCCAAAACTAAGAAAGAAAGCTAAAATCCTTAACTAACAAATAAACAAAGTCCTACAAAGAAAAGGAAACAAGTTTGACTCTCTCAACCCTTAAAACTAGCCTTAAAATCCCGGCTTGTGTTCACACCTGATATTCCTTTCACACTTGTATTCCTTTCACACCTTGTGTTCGCACCATAAGGAAATTCCTTCCTTTTGGGCCGAATCTTCACTCCTTTCTCCAAGCCCATCTTCTCGTGATTTGGATCCACAAATTTAAGCATGTGATGGGCTTTCCTCGATGCAATTCCATATCCATCAAGAATGATCCCATTTGATCCTTGTATCGTTGTATTCTGGCCTTCATCTTTGGACCACGAGAATTATATGTTATGCCAATCGATTTCACATAAACAAACTCGTAGGCCTTCTTTGCAAAACCATTTTCACCCATCATGAATGCTCCCAAGATCTCTTTGAACCTCTTAATTTGTGTCTTGGCCCATGGTCCATGTGAAGATCTAATTTGAGCTCGAGTAACTTCATGTGGGGTGAGCGGGGTCGCATCACTTCCTCTATTGCCCTCACCATGGATTCGAGGAGCAATTTTGGATAGAGACTTTCTATGGAGGTCTCATTCAAGATAAAAAGATTCTGATCGACTCTCTTTGCCAAGGGAAGTTGATGAACATGACCCCTCCTCAAGTGACCGAGTTGCTCAAAGATATGGCTCTCAAAGGATATGATTGGGGCCTGACAAGAAGTGGGAAGAGAAGCACCATAAGAGGAGTGCGAAATGTGGGAGCAAGTGCTCCACTTGAAGCGAAGCTTGACAAGTTGATCGAGGTGATCCTTGAGAGCAAGAATCAAGAGAAGGAGCCAATAGTGCCATATGATTAGGGTGCAAGTTCGGGCTATGAGGAATCCGTGTGCCAAGTGATGAACGAGGAAACAACCCATTACGAGCAGCTGAACTCTATCTCCCCTGTGCACACCGACCAGATGTCTTGTTTGGAGGAGTTAGTGACCACCTTTGTCGACTCTATCTCTAAGAAGTTTGAAAAAATTGAGAGGTTCATAAGGGAGGCGATCGAGAAATTCTCAACCATAAAGGCGGGGTTGCAAAGTCACCAATCACTCTTGACAACCTTGACCACAAGTATGGGGATTATCTCGCAGGCAGCTTTGTCCCCGAAGCAATTCGATGAAGCGGGAGTAAAGTTGGTTACTCTTCGAAGTGGGAGAGAAGCGAAGGAGCTAACTCTGAAGAAGAAGCCGCCTGTGATAGATAAGCAAGATGGAGCCGGTAGTTTCCCCAAACAACAAGGGGACATGACTACAAACAGAGGGGAGAAGGGAGATTTGATTCCTCCACCAGAGCAGAGGAGAGAAAAAGCAACTCCAGCTATTCCCTATCCTTCTCGACTCCGCAATGACCCCATGGAGGGAGAGTTTGCCCACTTCATGGAGTTGATGAACCAGATGCACCTCAACATCCCCTTCATAGAGGCCCTCACCCAGATGCCCAAGTACTCAAAGTACTTGAAGGACCTCCTCACCAACAAGAGGAAGCTAGAAGGGATGGCTACAGTGACCTTGAATGAAGAGTGCTCGGCAATCCTGCAGAACCACCTGCCCAAAAAGCGCAAAGATCCAGGGAGATTCACTATCCCTTGTTTTATTGGCAACATGTGCATAGGAAAATACTTGACGGATCTAAGAGCAAGTATAAATGTGATGCTTATAGGTTGTTTCAAAAGCTAGACCTAGGTGAACCTAAAACTACCATGATGAATATTCAGTTGGCGGATAGGTCTATTGTGAGGCCTAAGGGTGTTGTTGAGGACTTACTTATTAAGGTAGGGCCTCTCATTTACCCGGTCGATTTTGTCATTCTAGACATTGATGACAACGTCGATGTCCCCTTAATCCTAGGTAGACCTTTCTTAGCTACCGCCAAGGTCTTAATTGATGTGCATGGGGGAAAGTTAGTGATTAGAGCAGGGGAGGAAGAGGTTAACTTCTCTATTGATGATATCATGAAGTTTTCTCACCATCATGATGATGTTGATTATTGTGATGAGGTTTTTTATTTCATGGAGGCACTCGCATCCGCGGGTGCCTACCCTTCTGAAGAATGTTGTTTAGTAGGGACGAACATTACAGAATCTCCGG